TCCAGACCCTATCATATCAGTAGAGGAAAATTGTTCTTGACACAGATAAATGCTCAGGAAGTTTGTGCTTGGTATAAGAAGTAGATTGAGGTGTGGATTAGACCCTCTTGGTAAACCTGAAATGATTAGGGTAATTCTCTATTCTCCATTATTTCTTGAATGAGTAGCAGAGAGCCAGAGTGATATAACCTGTCTAGAATGCAGCACATAAGGTTAGGTAATTATATATTACCCCTTAATCCAAGCAACTCAGGAAGTTGAGATTTTACAATGGAGTTTAGATGCAATGATGGGCAGGAAACTAATAAAGATGTTTTTCCACAATTAAGCACCCAAAAAAGTGTAATTGAAGCTGTGGCTCAAGTGGTAGAGTGGTGGTTTTGGCATGAATACTCTGAAAAAATTCCCAGGGCCAGAGTTAAAGCACTGGAGGAAAGCCAGAAAGGAAGGAAGGAAGGAAAGAAGGAAGAAAAACAGAAGCAAAGAAAGAAGGAAGTTAGAAAGAAAGGAGGGATGGAAGGAGGAAGGAAAGGCAAGAGGGAGAGAAAAAGTATATAAGGCAAGAAGGAAGGAAGGAACAGAGGGAGGAAGGAAGGAGATAAACAGAAAAAAGGGAAATGGAGGAAGGAAAGAACAAGAAATGTTAGAAACAGAATTCACCTGAAAGTATTTTGATATAGAGAGTTACTCTACTTTGTATTGAACTAAATACAGGTCACCTGGTGAATCAGGGAAAATGAGCTATTTAAATGAAGGGCGATGAGAGGAAAGAGAATTATGGAACCCAGATTAACAGCGATTCTCACTCCTCACCAGACATGGAGCAGTGTGTGAGGTGTCCAGATCATCAGTTGGCCAACACTGAGAGAAACACCTGCCTCTTGAAAACTGAGAGTTTCCTGGCTTATGAAGACCCCCTGGGCATGTCTCTGGCCTGCACTTCTCTCTGCTGCTCTGTACTCACAGCTGCTGTTCTTGGGGTGTTTATCAAGCACCAAGACACCCCCATTGTCAAGGCCAATAACCGGGCCCTCAGTTACATCCTGCTCATCTCCCTCATCTGCTGCTTCCTCTGTTCCTTGCTCTTCCTTGGCCGTCCCCACACAGCCACCTGCATCCTCCAGCATACCACATTCGCAGTAGTCTTCACTGTGGCTGTCTCCACAGTCTTGGCCAAGACCATCACTGTGGTTCTTGCCTTCACGCTCACTGCTCCAGGGAGAAGCATGAGGCAGTGGCTGCAATCCCGGGCTCCTAACCTCATCATTCCCATCTGCACCCTCATCCAGGTGACCCTCTGTGGCCTCTGGCTGGGAATCTCTCCTCCCTTTGTGGACACAGATGTACATTCTGAACATGGCCATGTTATCATCCTGTGCAACATGGGCTCCCTCAGTGTCTTCTACTGTGTCCTGGGATACCTGGGCTTCCTAGCCCTGGCCAGCTTCACAGTGTCTTTTCTGGCCAGGAACCTGCCTGACACTTTCAATGAGGCCAAATTCCTGACCTTCAGCATGCTGGTGTTCTGCAGTGTGTGGCTCACCTTCCTGCCTGTCTACCACAGCACCAAGGGGAAGGTCATAGTGGCCATGGAGGTCTTCTCCATCTTGGCCTCCAGTGGAGGTCTCCTGGGCTGCATCTTTGCCCCCAAGTGCTACATCATCTTGCTAAGACCTGAGAGAAATTCTCTGTCCAGGTTCAGGGAGAGCTCACAGTCTGGAAGAAACAGACATTAAGATGAACATAAGTGTTGCCTACAATGTTTAGAAGCTCTGAGAACAATCTGTACCAATTTGATAGTCACATCTTAGTTTAATTTGAGGAATTCTTTGAACAAAGTAGTTACTCTCATTCATTCCTCTGGTAATGTTAGAGTCATATCAAATTCCTAACAAGACTTCCTAAATTTTCATTCTAATATGTATATTTTATGCTTCCTCCAGTGTAATATGTTCTTTATGCTATCATACTTCTGAATGATTACACTATCTACTGTGCTCCTTCCTTTCTCTTTCGTGTCTCAATTATTCTTCCTACCTATGCTATAGTGCTGCTTGCATATCATTATATTCTTAAGGCTACTGGTATCTGAACGTTATGCTGTGAAATGTTCCCATGCTTTCATTATGGTACCTCGAGTCTACTCTCTGGCATCACTGTCTATTTCTCCTCACATATTTTCTATTTTGCCATATTACTCTATGCATTTCTTCAGAAAATCTCTCCTTCTCTCTCTTCCTCTATTAAGAATTTTAGAGCAAGATGTTAATATGTTTCAGTTTCCCAGAGAAGTCTTTAAATATATTTTTTAGGGAAGAAATGTGCATGCATCAACATAACTAGAGCTGTCCAAATGAGCAGCTAGAGCAACAGTTTGCTTATTGATCATTATTTCTTATTGAAAACCAAAAGTACAGAGTGCCAAGAAGCGCCTTGTCATCCCAGTCTCTAAGAATCCTCAATGTTAATGGTTGAGAAATGGAATCATTTATAAGAAGAGAAAAAGCTCCTCAAAGAGAGGACAAAACATTAGATAGGCTCAGACTCTGTATCTCTCAATGTTCTTTAAAATTCTAGGAGAACTGGCATGATTCAGAAGAGCCTCTTAAATAATCAGAAGTGTTGAGGAGCTTGAAGTGGGAATATTATCAAGTCAACACTGCATTATACAGTCAGGACTCCAAAGGACAAGCAAGCTCATTTCGCTGAGTCCAGAGATCTGATGTCATTCAATGCTGTAACTGTGGGTTAATGGAGTGATGTCACTGACTCATGCATCACAGAGACACACACAACACTGTCTGTAATTCTGCTGGGCCATTGCTGGAAAACATAAAAGCATCTGCCCAGAGACAGAAATGTGTGGAAGCCAAACCGATCATTCTTTTTACAGTGACTCAAAGAAAAGAGTGCTCAATGTTCTGTAAGCATTTGCTTTTGTATTGAATGTCATTTCTGGATTAGTGTGTATACAACAAAAGGGTACTGATGAATTTTACTACCATAAAGCTTCAATGAGAACCAAAATAGCTTAACTAAACAAAAGAAATGAGTGTTAGACTACCATGTCAAATGTCTGCATCAAGCATTATGAAGACTTATTTGTTGTCCACTAGAGAAGTAGGAACAAGGAAACTTCAGATCCAATAACTTTTGGCCCTTTATGAAGTGTAAACTTACCACTTTGTGCTAATAATAAAAAGATAGTTGCCCTTATACATTCAACATACACTGATAGTAAAGGAAGTAAGTATTGAGTAATTACTAAGGAAAGAGGCTAAGGTACAAGGGACCTGTTCCCGGGCTCTCAGTGAAATAAAATGGATGTTTACCTTGTCAAAGAGGACAACTTACCAGAAGTATTCTGATCTCATGTCTTTTGTCCATAAGCAGAGAGCCCAATGCAAACACACCTGTAACAGTTTATGTCTAAACACTTACAAGTGATGTGATGATCTGATTAGTATTGCTAAAACTGGCCCTTGGACATAAAGAGTGGGTTAAAAAATGTTTTTGTATAATGTGACTTGCTTGCAATGACGTTTTACAATTAGAATATGGTTTTAAAATCATAAAGGTGTTAAGTTTTGCTTCTTGGTACAGTAATGGTGAATGTAATTCTTATATTAAGAAAAAATTGTCATTTGAGTTTAAAAGTTTTAATTTATATCTGTTTTAAAACAAGCAACCAAGAGACAATGAGTGACACTTGCCCTCAAAATTTTAAGGGATTTTTAAAAATGTAACTAAAAAC